AGAAGAAAATGAAGCTTTTATAAGGCTTAGACCCAATCAAAAATATGTTCTATTAACTTCTAGAATTCCAAATGAAGAAAAAAACTACATTCCTAACAACTTTAGAAAAGAGGCTAACATAAGTTTCCACAATAGCCCACACTGCGTTTCCCAGACTCAGTGTGTACTTTTATTTTTGCTCTTACTCTTTTTCTTATTCAGCCCAAGCCAAATAAACTGCAGAGCCAGTTTCCCATGCCCCTCCTTCATGCTTTCCTGAATAAACTTTGCCACTGTCAAAAAGAGAAAGAGAGAATACTGTCTAGTCTTAAATGTAACACCTACTCCTACACGCAAGCCTTACTTTATGCCTCAATGCCACATACTTAAATTGTTTTTTTTGGTACCGGAGATCAAACTCGGGTCCTTGGCTTTCGAGGCAGGCGGCTGAACCACTGAGCCAAATCCCCAGCCCTAATACCACATACTTAACTGGGTTCCAACTCATTGAGCTCATTAAGTACAAAAATGAGTTGCTTAGCAGGCATGGAAGTACACACCTGTGATCCCAGCACTCTAGGAGGCTGAGGCAGGAGAACAGCAAATTCAAAAATTAAAAACAAAACAAGAAAATTAACCCCCCAAAAAGATGATATACCAGAATAAGCAGGCTTTTTTTTTTTTTTGCTGTAGTGAGGACTAAACCCAGGGCCTTCACAATGAGATACATCCAGCCCCCCACCTTTTTTTTTCTGAGGGGGAAAAGGGGCAGACTGACACTCACTAAATTGCTCAGACTGGGCTAGAACTTGCAATCCTCCTGCCTCAGCCTCAGAGCACTAGGATAACTAGGATTATGTGCAGTGCACCACCATACCCGGCAGCAGTTATACTGTAATTGTCAAAAATAACCTGATTCTGCTGCGTAAGAACAAGGACCCGAGTTTGATCCACAATACCAAAAATAAATAAATAAATAAATAAATAAAAATAACCTGATAGGGGGCCGGAGATTTAGCTCAGTGGTTCTGCTGCCTGCCTCGCAAGGTCCCAAGTTCAATTCCCAGTACCAAAAAAAAAAGGACTGGGAATGTAGTTCAGTCAGTGCAAAGGCCCTGAATTCAATCCCCAGTACTGGAAAAAAAAAAAAACTAATAAATTTGGTCCTTTAACTTCAAAAAGATAAAATGAAATTAAGCCAGGCATAGTGGCACAAACCTGTAAATCCAGCACTTAGGAGGCTGAGGTTGAATTGTGATTTTGAGGCCAGCCTGGGCTACAAAGTCAAGGCCATCCTAGACTAAGAACTGAAACCCTGTCTCAACAACAAAAAAGAAACTTGTTAATTGGGTCAAAATCTACCACAGACTTACATGGTGATATTCCCTACAGATCTCCTCTTTGCCTTCCTTAGGTTCATCTCCACTCTCAGTTTTATAAACAAAAACAGCTGCTAAGATCTACCAGGAATACCTCACCACAGAGGCCATAACAGCTTTTAAGAACACTCCATTTACTCAAATTAACAACTAAGGGGGCCGGGGATTTAGCTCAGTGGTTCCAGCGCCTGCCTTGCAAGCGCAAGGTCCCGAGTTCGATCCCCGGTACCAAAAAAAAAAAAACAACTAAGAGTAAACTGATATTTACTGACATGAGTTACCTCAAAAGGAAACATAAACTATGATGAATTTGTTAAGAGCAAAGGATCTTGGCTATTTACTGTGAATTCATGCAGACTGTTTATTTTGTAATACTGGGGATCACCCAACCCTGAACCTAAGCCTTCACACTGAGCTGTATTTCCAACTCCCTGCTCTCCACAAAGTCACTAAATTGACCAGGCTGGGCTCAAATGTGATGTTCCTCTCTCAGCCTCCAACCTACCAAAGAGATTTTGGGGAGTGGGGGGGGTATTTCTTGAGGGTTTTTGTTGTTGTTTTGAGACAGGATCTTACTTCTCAGTTCAAGCTGGCCTTAAACTTACTACGTAGCCCAGGCCAGCCAGCACTATAATCCCAAGTGCTAGGATCATCATTGTGCACCACCAGACCCACCTCCAAGAGATCTTAACAACTCATCATTTAACAAAAGGACTGGGAACCAAAAAGCTAACAATTTCAAACATTCAAACTAAGATTATACTATCTACATGTATTTCATATTTAAAGGGGTAGTTAGTAACCAGCTTCCTTCCATCAAAACAAATACATATTGGAATAAACCCATTCCTGTCCATGTTCTTCAACTTCTCCCCAAACAGTGAAAGTCACTGACTTAAACAAAAGAGACATCCCTGGTGAGCACTGTACAGGCTTCACCAGTTACCAGGAAGCGGAAGCAGAGGTGGTGGTGGTGCTCCAGTATAGGTCTAAAGGAAGCTCCATGTAACTGCTAGTCCAGCCCATATTTAAAGAGAGCCCAGAGGAAACCAGAGCAACAAAAAACAGGGAGGAGAAGCAATTACCACAATCTTTTTCGGTGGCCTCATTCTCTTCCATGCCACCAACTGCAGCCACATTTCAATGAAAACAAAAATCTCTCACGGGCTGGTGATTTAACTCAGTGGCACAGCACCTGCCTGACAAGTGTGAGGTCCTGAGTTCGATCCCCAGTACCAAAAACAAAAACAAAAACCAAAAATCTCTTTTAGAGCTGGGCATGGTAGCATATGTCTATAATCCCAGCATTCAGGAGACTGAGGCAGGAGGATGGAAAGTTCAAAGCCAGCAAGTGAGGCATAGGGAGCCCAAGGGCAGTCTGGACTACACAGAAAGACCTTGACTTGAAAAACCGAAACATTTCCAAAATGCTTCTTAATTACTGAGGGTTAGAGGCAGTGAGGAAGCAAATAGGAAAATCAGAGGTGTGGGAAACAAGCAGGACAATGGTAGAGGAAAATCTCTCTCTCCACACATGAGAAAACTAGCCCTAAATAGGAAAATCAGGCAGAGCACATCGGCAGCAAGTGGAAGACTGACATGGGAAACTAATCACCTTTGCCTAGTGATAACACAAGCCTTCGCAGAAAATGGAAGATAGCCCTAGCCAAGAGGCCCCTCAGCATTTAAAAGATGTTGAGGGCCGGGGATTTAGCTCAGTGGTTCCACTGCCTGCCTTCCAAGTACAAGGACCCAAGTTCCATCCCTGGTACCAAAAAAACAAAAAAAACAACAAAAAAAACAAAAAAAACAATAAAAGATGCTGGATCATCTCCATAGAGAATTTATTCCCTTTTCTGAGACAAAAAAGGACTACACCAAAGTGCCCACTCAATGCCTAAGCTACACAACAGTTTAGGTATGTCAGTCACCTTCCTCCCAACTTCCACCAATATTAAAAAGGACATAAAATTCACAAGAAATAGTGAGGAACACAATAAAAGGACATAAAATTCACAAGAAATAGTGAGGAACACAATAACTAGTGGTAAATCACTGGTGAAAAAAAGCCTTATACTATAAGAGAAATAAGAACTGAGTTCAGGCTGGGGATTTAGCTCAGTGGTTCTGCTGCCTGCTTCGAAAGCATAAGGACCCAAGTTCAATCCCCAGCACCAAAAAAACAAAAAAACAAGAACTGAGTTCACTAAAAGAGTTGGCTAGTCCAATGGTAGTGAGTTATCAGAACTTAACATTAGTGTCACTAAAAATGTTAATTATACGGCCTGCAAAAAAAAAAAAAGATGATCTTTGGATATCATATGGAGACCTTAGAAAGCTCTGAATTGAGCCAGGCATGGTGGCTCAGGCTTGTACTGGGAGGCTTCAGCAGGAGGATCAAAAGTTTAAGCACAACCTAGGTAACTTAACAAATCCTTGTCTCAAGTTAAAAAATTGGGGGAAGGGGCTGGGGATTTAGCTTAGTGGTTCTCCCACCTGCCTCAAAAGCACAAGGTCCCGAGTTCGATCCCTGGTACCAAAAAAGGGGGGGGGGCGCTCAATGCAAAGGCACTGGGTTCAATTCCCAGTAGCCTCCCACGTATTTTCTCTCCCTCTCTCTGAATATTTTTCTTCTGAGACAGAAAAGAGTCTCACTATGATTATTCAGACTGGCCTTGAACTCGCTATGTAGCCCAGGCTGGCCTCGAATTCGCGGCGATCCTCCTGCCTCAGCCTCCGGAGTGCTGGAATTACAGGTGTGCGCCACCATGCCCGGCTCTCTGAATTTTTAGTATATACAGGTGCTATACGACAGTAAATTTACTTATTATGGGACACTACATACCGTGAACACAAAGTAGAAACAACACCCGATAGAGGTGGTAATAAACGATAAGATTATATCTAACAGGAATGATGATAGGCTCAACCCCAGGGGAAAACAAGGATAAGAAAGTAGAGTGGTGACAGTTTAGACGTCTGGGCAACTAGATTGAAAACTCAGGGAGAAAAGTGTGAAAGCCGAGTGCGACTGTGAATCGGGGCAAAATGCAGCAATGAAAGAGTAACATTTTGAATATGTAACAGACAGCGCTTTACAGGTGCACAAGACGCTCTAAACCTACATTAAAGAATAAAATGTGACACAACCAAAACACAAGAACCAAGAATGAGAAAAAAACTGAGATCCAATTGAGACAAAATCCCTCCGAAGAAAAAGAACTGAACACGCCTAGAGATTAAACCGAGAAAGGCTACAGAGCGCAGAAGTTGAGGTCCAGGAGGGCCAGTCCTAGGACTAGCGTCGGGAGCGGCAAGCGGAAAGGTGGTCAGGATGAGAGCGACAGCGTGGCGGGGGAACTCCAGTGGACCGGCAGCGACCGAGGTGGGAGAGAAAGCCACACCCTCCAGGACAGATATTCGAAGGGGGGAGGGGAAAGCGCCCCCAGAGGCTGGGTGGGGCCCAGCCGACTAGAACCGGCAAAGGCTGGAAGGATCACAAGGCTACCTGAGCGAGAGGAGGAGGGTGCCTGGGCCTGGCTATACTAAGGAAGCATGAAGCCAGCAAGGGAAGCTCGGCCGGGTCCTCACGGGCGGACGCTGGAGAACCCTAAAAGGGAGAGAAGACTCAGAAGACCTAACCTGGGTCTAGAGCGCTCACACTGCGGTGCTCAGGACCTCGCGAGAGAAAAAACCGGGGAGAAGGTGGCAATTACCGCTGCTCCCCTCGCTGGAATCCGGAACCGCCGCCGCCGCCACTCGTTACCTGCCAATGTGCCTCTTACAAAGCGGCGGCGGCAGCACAGGCAGCCCTGCCCGTCACGTGACCCCTACGTCACGACCCAAGGAGGTGCCACGACGCGTCGCTCGCGCACGGCTTCCCCGTGTGCTGCCTGCTCCAGTCACCACCCTGCCTTCAACTAGGCGAACCCGATAGCACAAAGGTGGTGGAGACAAATGGCACAAGTAAGGGAGAGTTTACGGCATATCTGGTGCTCAGAGTTATTATCCTCTGTAGAGGATGGAGGCCACAACTCCGGCTTTTTGTCGCGCTGTGATGACCTCACGAAGAGCCGTGAGTTGCTCCCTTGCGGCCGACTTCTTTTCGTCAGGTGATGTAGTCCAGCCAATCATGGCAAGCCCGGCCCCCAGAAGTTGCAGACGGGGACTACAGCTCCCAGCATGCGCCACACCGAGGGCACCCACTACTGCAGCTATTGGCCGGTGGGTTCCCAGATGCACCGCCAGGGACTCAAGAACTGAGGGAAGGCTGACACGGGAAGCAGCCAGGGCCAACTTCTGGCTCTGAGTACCAGTGGGTGGCACCTGCTAAGTGGCCCAGCGTGGTTCCTGCTGGGAGGTGTAGTCCTTCTGGTTCATAGGCTCTGCTGTCGCGTAGCCTGGCTCACTCTGCCCTGCCCTCTGTGCAGGAAAATGCCAAGGGCTCTCTGGTTAGCCAGAGATTCCCAGTAGGTCCCGCAAGACTGGGGGCCTCACGGCTTCAGTCTAGTTAAATGTGGGTAGAGTTCTGCATTCCCAACGCCCTCCTGCGTAAAGAGACGAACATTTATTGAATGCCTACTCCATGTCAGCCAATAATACAGTCATTTTTATTGCATATATCTAACCCTTTGAGGATAGGATTGGTTCAGTTTTGAGGATAAAGATAGAGGCTTCGAGAGTTATTTTCTGGTCTAAGGCACCCAAATCAGGTTTTCTATCTCGGCAAATTGATTTCATCTGAGAGCTGAAAAAAAAGGATCTGTTCTAGGCCTCCTCAATTTTGTTTTTTTTTCCAGTACTGGGATCAAACTCAGGACCTTGCGCTTGCCAGGCAGGAGCGGTGCCACTGAGCTACGACCCGGCCCCCGGCAACTTGAATAGTCAATTTCAGAAAGACCTCTCTCAGTAAGATCTGACCTGATGCTGAGGATGTAACTCCGTTGGAGGAGCATCTGTTGTAATTGTAACAGTCTTAGAGCTTAAAAAGTATTTTCTCACTGGTCCATATAGACCTAAAAGATAATAACATAGGGGCTAGGGCTGCTCAGAGGTAGAACGAGTATTTACTAGCTTATATTGAGTTTGGTGCAAGATTTGTTCTAAATTAAATCACTTGACCAAAACCACTGAAACCTTAAACTGTCCTGAACAGTTCAAAAACCCTTTTTTTTTTGAACTGGGGATCAAACCCAGGACCTTGTGCTTGCAAGGCAGGCGCTGGCGCCACTGAGCTAAATCCCTAGTCCTTGAAAGCCTTTTTTAGTCATCAATTATTAATCAAAGAATGTTCAGCAGTGCCTTTAACAGTCTTATTATCTTGACTATTAATGTATAGATGTATCATCTCTCCCCTTGTGATAGTGAGATAGGATTGTGTCTGGTCAATTCAGTCTTCCTACTCTCTGTGTTCCTGCTTTATACAAATGTGTAAGAGTGCCTGTGATTTAGCTCAGTGGTTCCGCTGCCTGCCTTGCAAGCACAAGGGTCCCAAGTTCGATGCCCGGTACCAAATGTATAAGAGCAGGGTATGGTGGTGCTGTAATTCTAACTTGGGAGACTGAAGCAAGAGGATCACCACAAGTTTGAGGTCAGCCTGAACTCCATATCGAGTTCAGATCAAATAAAAACCAAATAAATAACCAAATAAAACTAAATAAATAAATGAAAACTGTGTGGAGAGAGTCGAAGATAAAAACTAGGCTAGGCCGGAGATTTAGCTCAGTGGTTTCGCCGCCTGCTGCGCAAGCGCAAGGGCAAGGACCCAAGTTTGATCCCCGGTACCAAAAAAACCAAACTAGGCTAGTTGTGGTGACTCATGCTTGTAACTCCAGCACTCTGGGAGACTAAGGCAGGAAGGCTGCAAATTAAGAGCCCAGCCTGGACAATGTAGTGATTCAGCAGCAGGACCCTTTCTCAACATTAAAAAAAGGTGGGCATGTAGTTCAGCAGTTCAATCCTCCAGGACTCCCGCACCTTCAAATTTAAAAAAACAGTTAACAACAAAAAGCCATCCCTAACAGCCTTGAAGGAAAAAGTAGAAGAAAAGACTTCTGAAAGAACATATAAACCTGATAAAAGAGGTTGTCTGAAGAAGGAAGAAGAAGTTTTGTGATAGAGGTGCTGGCCAAAAGGAAATGTAATCTAATGTTTTAGTTTTTTTACATGGAGAAGGTGCTGATACTTACATACTACTTTAAGGATTAATTTTGAGAGCTGAGAATTTGGCTCAGTTGTACAGCACTGGCCTAACATGTGCAAGAGCTTGGTTTAAACTCCAGTACCATCATAAAGAAAGAAGGGGGGGGGCAGGGAAGTGAGAGAGAAGAAACAAGAAAGAAAAGAAACAAATTTTAAAGGAAGCCAGGCATGGTGGCATATACCTGTAAAGTCCTACTTGTTTTTGGTTTTTGTTTCTTGTTTTTTTTAAGACAGGACCTTGAACTCACTATGTATCCCAGGGCTGGCCTTCAACTCACAGTAAACCTCCTGCCTCTGACTTCCAAATGCTGAGATTATAGGCCTGTGACACCATGCCCAGCGAGAAGTCCTACTTGGGATCTAGGATCACACAAAATAAAAGCCTCAAAGCCCTAAAACCTGATTACAGTTCTCATGACTTGAATATAATATAATTATATTCATAATAACCCCCCACCACCAAGGTACATTCCTTTTCCACCCAAGCAAACTCTGAGACATTGACTGAAACTGATTTCACATCCTGTTTTGGCAAAGGACATTACCGACACTTTTACACATTTTAAGTCTTCTTGGCTGGACTAAAGTGAGAACATAATGTGATAGAAAATACATACAAATGGGCCAGGGATTTAGCTCAGTGGTTCTGCCGCCTGCCCCGCAAGCTGAAGGACCCGAGTTCGATCCCTGGTACTAAAAAAAAAAAAAGCAGGGTGTGGTGGCCCATACCTGTAGTCCCAGTACTTGGGAGGCTGAGGGAGGAGGATCACTTGAGTGCAAGGCCAGCCTGCACTACAAAGCAAGACCTTGTCTCAAAAAACAAACAACAATAAGGGCCAGGGATTTAGCTCAGTGGCCCATGCCTGCCTCATAAGTGCAAGGTCCTGAGTTCCATCCCCAGTACCAGAAAAAACATTTTAGCTATAGTGTCCAAGAATAAAAAAGATTCAGATTGGGGCCGAGGATTTGGCTCAGCGGTTTCGCTGCCTGCTGCGCAAGTGCAAGGACCGGAGTTCGATCCCCGGTACCAAAAAAAAGATTCAGATTAAAAGAAACATCAACAATAAAAAACGGCCACAGTGGTACATGCTTGTAATTACAGCACTTGGGAGGCTGAGGCAGGAGAATGGCTGCAAGTCTGAAGCTAGCCTGGGCTACACAGTGAGTTCAGTAAAGGTCATCCTGAACTATTTATTGAAACCCTGTCTCAAAAACAAAAACAAGGGCCAGGGATTTAGCTCAGTGGTTTCGCCGGCTGCTGCACAAGCACAAGGACCCAAGTTTGATCCCCAGTACCAAAAAAAAACACAAAAATTGAAATTTTTTGAAGGTTAAAAAAAAAATGGACCAGCATGGTGATGCATACCTATAATCCCAGCACTGAAGAACCTGAAGCAGGAGAAACAATGTCAGCCTAGACTACATAACAAGACCTGTGTCCAAAAAAAAAAAAGCCGAGTATGGTGGCGGATGCCTGTAATCCTAATGCTCAGGAGGCTGACACAGGAGGATCGCTGCAAGTTCGAGCCCAGCCTGGGCTACATAGTGAGATCAAGGCCACCATGAACTACATATTGAGATGCTGTCTCCAAAAACCAAGATACAAGGGGCCGGGGATTTAGCTCAGTGGTTTCGCTGCCTGCTGTGCAAGCACAAGGACCCAAGTTCGATCCCTGGTACCAAAAAAAATAAAATTAAAATTAAAAAAAAAATACAAAGAGAGAGAGAGATAGAAGCAAAAGTAGAAGGTATGCAGGTGGTATGACCATAACCAGCAAGCACGTGGAACGTTCTGGTCCCCTTGACAGATTGCTGCCTTTAGCACATGAAAATGGGTGTTTCATGTTTATTAGCCATAAAAATCACCCAAGACTCACTGACCTGTGTTCCATGTTGCCAAGCAACATAATTAGAATTTGGCTTTTCATTAAACCTTTTCTCCAGAGAAGTGAATGTGCTGTTGACCGGAGGACTGTATGTTATTTTACATGGCCTAAAATTAGTACACTGACAATAACAATTTGGAACATATCATCAGTTTCAGACCCTGTCTAAAAAATACAACTGGGGGCTGGGATGTAGCTTAGTATGAAAGCTGTGGGTCCAATCCCCAGTATTGCAAGAAATAAATAAAAATTTTTAAAAGGTTAGGAATGTAACTCAGTCCAAAGGCCCTGGCTTCAGTCCCAAGTAAGGTAATAATAATGTCTATCAAAAACCTCAAAAAATAATTGAACTGGCCTGAGGATTTAGCTCAGTGGCACCACCCCTGGCCTTGAAAGTGCAAGGTCCTGAGTTTGATCCCCGGTACCAAAATAATAATAAAATATAATAATAATAATAATAATAATAATTGAACTGTAAGAATTATAGCCAGACAGTTTGTAATAGCTAAAGCTTGGAAACAGCCCAAATACCCATCCACTGGAAACTGGATAAAGAAGATGTGGTTTTTTTATAAAATGGAGTACTACTCAGCCATAAAGAATGAGAAACTAGAGACATTTATAGCTAAATGGACGCATATTGAGGCCATACTCTTAAGTGAAATAAATAGGACACACATGTAAATACCGAATAGTTTCTCTAGTGTGAGAAATTGAAAGTGTAAATAAGGATGAAAATGATTAAAATGAATAATTGATAATTTGAAATAAGAAAAGGTCC